GACTTAATTAAAAGTATCTCTGCTCAAGGTAATCTTTGCTAGGGCACTGCTTCAACTAAGAAATAAACTCCCCAACATTTTAAAATGCCTTATAATGGTGACATGATGCCCTTCAAACACATGGCTTTGTTCCTTTCAAAAACTGCCTTGAAAAAACTGAAAACCCAACTATACTCACAGTCATTTTCCATAAGTATATATTTTATAAATTATCCACAAAGTTTCCACACCCCATCCCCCCCTGCCCCCAAACTTCTATTTTTAAGAGAATCTAGAGGCTAGAGATGTAGAGTGTGTTCTTTCTACTTTCAAAAAATGCAAGGAAAACAAGTGTAGTTTCCCTTGGTTTGGTTGGAGGCCATCAAATCCAGGCTGCCTGTAGAGCTATGCATGCTTTCTTTCTGAAATGTCACTGAACATGTTCAAAAATCTTCAGTCTGTCATATTTTTTCACTTTTTATCCTGCCTAACTAAAGTTACCTCTGCTCTGCTTTCCCAGCTGTCTCCTTTCAGTCTCGGATCTGAAGTTCTAGTTAAAAAAAAAAAAGCAACACCCTCCTCAGAAACAGTAAACCACAGGACACACAAAGCAACACCTTTTCTAAAGTCCTTTTTAAATGACAAACAAATCTACTCCACCTACTTGTTTATTCACAGTTATCAACAGACTTGATAGCCAAATCTGCTTTACTGTATTATTAACAGTGGTCTGTTGTCTGGTTCTCAAAATTACAGCATTAAGGATCTGTTTTGCTCAAAACCAGCATTTTGAAATAATACAGGGGATGTTTAGTGTTACATAAGAAGATTCATTACTTTTTGAAGGGTTGGGTTTTTTTAGATGTATGATTTTAGTTTCTTAGATGCAGCAACTGACCTGGCAACAGCCACAATGTGTTCACCTCAGAAACCTGGCAGCTAAACTAACTGTCAGGACACAGGGTGAGTTGGTAACCTCCAGTACCACTGTCTGCATGTCAAAGAAGTATTTTACCAGTCCTTTACCTCCTAACAAAACCACTGACTGAAGCCAAGCCATGGTCAAGCAAGGCAGACTTTTAGCAGAATTAACACCACTTAAGGCCCTCAGCTGTCACTTCCTTTAAAAGGGTTACTGTATCCCTGGATCAACTGCATATTTTACAAGTCTCCCAGAGACTCAGCAAGCTTGTTTTTCCTTGAAAAGACTCTTAGAGAGTATCACTTCTGAAGTTTCCAGTTGTAATAAGGAAGATGCACTATTTTCGCTATTTACTTCTTTGTAGGAACATGATGGGAGAAAGATAAGATGAAAGGGAAGCAAAATAAGATTCTTTTTTGTGCATCAAAACAGTAATTAGTCATTTAAATATCTTGTGACTCGATGCCTGAATATTAAATCTCTTTGATTGCCTTTTTCCCTAGGGAAAGTTATTTAGTCAAGAGGAGAACTCTTAGCTCCAAATATCTGTTCATTTAAAATTACATTTATGCAAAACTCAAACCTATGTTAGAATTCTATTTATAAAAAGTTATAAATGCTAACTCACACTAGTTGAAGACATCCTCTCTTCCAAAATCTTGTGGACACTTTGCCATCTGTTTGTAATAAAACATCTATCATTTTTGTAAGCATTAGGGAAAAAATCCCCCAATTCAAGTCTTATAACACAAACTATAAACTTTCCAAAATCCCGCATGGCCTGAAGTTTGGGAAACAGAATACAGTACGGTATTAAACCTATGAGGTTTGCCCCAACTTAAGTCACAGAATCGGGCTCTCTGTTGTCAACACTAATATAAACTGAAGAGAAAGCTTTTTAGGGCAACAAGAGGGAAGGAAGGAAATTTAGCAAGTCTGCAGAAACAATAAGGAACAAGAGTTTAATAGCAACTATTTTACGTATGAAGATCCAAAAGAAGATTCAGAAGGACACCTGTGCTTACTGATGGCAAACATTTTTTTTGGGGGGGGGGGCGTTTGTGTGTGTACATACATATTCAAAACAAATGCAGGAGCAAACTCCAGCTGTGGGAAGCGTCTACTTACTCCTAGAGCTAACCCTCAAAGCTAATCTTAGGAAACAAAAGCATCACATTAACCACAAAAACAAGTCTTATAATTAATGTTTAAATTTTTTTCCTTGCCCATGACTACTTAGGTAGGACAAATATGTCTGGGTTTAGGCAGACGATACAGACAGCACATGTAATTTTCTAGCCTGAAAACTTCCAACTGCCAGGCAAACAGTAAAAGAGAAAGATGGCAACCTGACATTTCTACAAATAAATGCATGCATGCAGTCTCACTCTCTTGAACTGAGAGATGAACTCAGCAAGTGAGACAGCAAACAACAGAATTTAATATTCTGGTACGAGAGGAAATAAAAGGTGCTTTCTCTCATATAAAGAATCTACAGGTATCAATTCAGAATGTATCTACTGTGCCCAAAAGAAACACAAGCATCCTAAGCACTGCTACCAACCACTTAAATACTACTCAATCAATACCATGCTAAAGTTTTAAGCATCTTCACAAAAATAAACACCACCAAAACAGCCCAATAAAATCCAACCTACTAATTAGAAAAATAAAGAAAAAAATTTCACAATATACATTTTATCAGATGTGTAAAGCAACTTATGACTTCCAGAAGACTTGGAAATACTGTATTATGTTAAAATGGTGAGGAGTTATGTTGAAAAAAGCCTCAGAGAGTGGTTACTCTGTGGACAACAACATGCAAAGTGCGTTACTCTCTAGTGCGTTACTTTCTGCCCAAAGACACTTCATAAAAATTCACTGAGTCCATTAACTAAGAGCAACAGTGCCACAAAGAGGAAACTCCATTTAAAGATGATACCTCTTTTAAAACAAATCTAACTCCAAGTTTGCTACATCTAGAACTAGGAACTAGAAACTTTACAGCCTGTCACCTAAAAAGGACAATGGAAGTCTGACAACTACAAAAATTCAGGACTATGACACTCTTAACAGAATCATGGAATATTCTGAGTTGGAAGGGACCCACAAGGATTATCGAGTCCAACTCTTAAGTGAATGGGATCCATATGGGGATGGATTCCACAACCTTGGCACTACCAGCACGCTGCTCTAACCAACCAAGCTGGTGTCACCTTTGTTCTCAGCACCAAATTTCAAAACCTGCTTACATAACTGCATTTCTGCAGTACTTCCCTATTTGCTGTGCCCAATGCACAGATGGAGAGAACTGATTATACTACGGAAATAATTAAATATTTACAACACTGCAAATAACGCACTTCAGAGCAGAGTCTTCAACAATAACAGTTACCAAGTGTTTTACCTTTAGCAAAAACAGCTACTGATTGTTCTACCTATCTTGGAAAGTGCTGAGTGAATGATTAAATGACCCTGAAGTTCAAAACGGTTTAAAGTTTCATCCTCCACTGAGACAGTAGAACTGAGCAGGAAGCGATAGACTTTAGCCTCTAACACGGATTTCCTTACTCTGAGTAGTGCTTCAGAACTGACTTTCGAGGGGACCGTCACAACTTCATTTACACCGCGCCTGTCTGATGGCACTTGCAGGGTTCTTAGATAAACCTAAACATAAATCCTTCCACTTCCTATCTCCGGCAAGGCAAAAGGAAAAGGCACGGGCCCCACAGGGCCCCGCTCCCCTCAGGGCGCCCGGGCCCGCGCGCGCTCCCGCCGCCGCGCGCCGATTCTTCCTCCTTCTCCATCCCCGTGGGCATCTGCGGCACGGCCCGGTTAATGGAGGCATATTCGGCCAAGTCAGGCAGGTCCTCGCAGCGGAAGACGGGCAGCGGCTTGGACGCGTCCAGCGCCCGGGCCCGGAACGACAGTTTGCTCATGTTAGGCGGCGATGGCGGCTCCGGCTGGGAAGGGGGGGGCGACAGCAAGCGCGCTCCGAGCTGAGAGCCGGACCCCGCCGAGCGATCTCATGGAGGGACCGGGGCTCCCCCGGCGGGGCGGGGCGCACTCCGACACGGGGCCCGGCGGCGCCCGCTGGCGCGGCTGGGCTGGGCGCTGGCTCCGCTCCTCCGCCGCTCCGGTTCCGCTCAATACGCCACGGCCAACATGGCGGACATTAAACCTCGACTGGCCGCCTCTTTCAGCCAACCCCAGCGCCACAGCCATTCCCACACTGCATCGCGCAGGGCGCGGGCACGGCGCCGCCCGGGGGGAGCGCGCGCGGCGCGGGCACGGCGGCGCGGGCTCGGGAGCGCGGGACGCTGCGAGCAGCCCGAGCGGGCTCGGGAGCGCGGGAAGGCTCGGAGCCGCCGGAGCCAGATCGGGGCACCGGGATCAGGGGCGCAGTCGGGAGCAAAGGGAGTTTTAATCAGCGTGTGCGGCACCGCTCCGCCCTCCGGCCGCTGAGCTGTGCCGCGGAGCCGCGCTCCACTCCTGCGGGTGAGCAAGCTGGGGCAGCCCCCAGCCCCTCACCCCGAGTGGAACCTCCACTGCAGCCGCGCCTGACCATGACAGCTCTGGGAAACCTGGGCGAGGGCCGGGGAGGTGCCGGTCCCGACCTTTCCGGCCTCTCGGGGGCCAGACCGCGGGACAGCGGTGCCGGGCTCTGAATTCACCCCGACCCGGGAGGGCTGCGGTGCCCCCGGCCGCGGCCGGAGCGGCGCCCCGCGAGTGAGGGGATCCGACCGCGGGGCGCCCCGGCAGCGCCCCTCGCCTCAGGGCCCGGCCGCGGCCCCGCAGCCGTCCGCCGGGCGCTGCCCCTCTCTGCGTGGCCGCTCCGGGTTCGCTCCTGTGCTAAATAAAGGGGCAGCGCGGGCACCTGCCCGAAAACGGTGAGGAACCGTAAGAACCGGGCACCTCCACGACGGGATTTCCACCCCGTTTTTCCGAGGTTTTCAGAAACTTAGTCCGGCAGCAAAGTGCAGACACGTGAACTGGTTTAAGCCTTGCGTGGACTTACGTTATTATCAGTGACCCGCTCAAGCGAGCTCACCCCAGGCAATGGGTAGAGCCCACTTGAGCGTGTCTGATTAGGGAAGCTCGTTTACATCTCAATGAGTCGACTGAAGTGATGCACTATTCGGCTCTAAGCAAGGGATCGGAAATGCCGAGTTAGCCCCGTCGCGGTGCTCTCCGCACAAGCCGCCCCAGGGCATCCCAGCGCGGCCGCAGGAGCGTCCGACCCGTCCCGGCCGGACCAGGGCTGCAGCCGCCGGGCTAAGGAGCGATACGTGCTCGTCTATGTTCTCGCACCAGGTTGTATGTAATTCCAGCTCTGTAGTAAGAGCTATCTTATCGAAATTTTGCTTAGTTCCATTTAAAATGCGAAATAGTTGTGTGTTGACTGAATTCAAGTGTCCCTCTACTTGTAATGCAAAATACTGTAGTTTTTACTGTCACATGAGAATCGGTGGACAGAACTTTGCTCTTTATCACATACTACTTTTGGGGAACAGAACTTTCAGAAATACGGCATAGATATAGCAAAAAAAAAAAAAATCTTATTTTGCTTAGCAATTTTAGAAATCTCTAGAATAGAAGCAAAAGCCATTTTTAAAACTGCACCACCTCTTTACTATTACTACTAATAATATGACCACTCTCCTCAACCTTAAGCCACTACTAAACACTAGATGAAATATTACTAGATGCAGTTGTTAACAGAAGATTCAAGCCAACTATTTTCATGACTGACTGGGAAAACAAAACCTGCTAGGTTTCCCAAGCTGCTTAAACTGCAACTCATTTGGCTTCATAACTTCTCTGGGATGCTAAATTCTACCTGTACTGCAAATGGGTAATGCAGTGGAAGACAGCTGCTAGAGAGAATGAGACTTTTTTTAAGGGAGGCTTTTTGTTGTTTTTTATTTATTTAAGGAGAGTGGCATGAACTAAGAAGTATCATTGTATTAATTTGTATTTCAGCAGTTACATCAGAATCAAATCTTTAAACATGCATATTGCTTTTTACTCTAATTCTAAAGCTTAAAACACACGAGTTAGAAATATAATCCTAAAATAAATTGCCCTTAAAACATCTACACCTTTTTCCACAAACACTAAATAATTTAGTTTATCCAATTAGCAGACAAGGTGCTGAAAAAAAAGAACAACAAAAGCACAATATGCTGTCATAGATTAGCTTTGACTTTAAAAATTAAATGAAAATTAAATATCTGGCAGCTAAGCAAAAAAAGGTCATTAAGTATAAGTCTCCACTTATACTGATGAAAGGAAAACAATACATAAAGAACATAAAACCAAAGTACTGAAAATATCCTGAACTATAAAGGAAGAATAATCAAGTTCAAACTTATCCTTAGTTGACCTTTGCTTTTCTAACCCTGCCACAGGCTTGAGAAAAGTGCAGAGCAAGCAGAATGGACAATAATGTTTGGATACAAAGAGGACAGTGCATTAAGAAAAAGTTTTGGCCTGAAACTCTTGGACTCATCAGCTTTTAATGTTTTGCCAATAAAAGAGATTGTGTTAAGATATTTTGTAGCAGAATATGATTAGCCCTCAAAATTAATTTGCTAGTAAGATGGGAAGTGTGATAATTGAAAACAATGTGACATCAGCCCTGATGTCTGTTCTGTAAGAGATGGTGACAGGAAAAATTATGGAATGTAACCAGACTGATATTTCCATTTTATCTTCCTTTCAGTAAGAAAATACAAGTATATTTTAGGTCTTTTTAAATTCTGTAGCTTTTACCAAAATGCACAATTTACATCTGTAGACATCAGTGCTGCACTATGACAGTAGCTAATGCAGAATTGGTATGTTTTGTATAGTGACCAAAATACTCTTTGCAAGCTCTCAGTAAAAGATCAGTAAGTATAAATTAATTTGTTGAACCTAAGTGCTCTGTGTGTATTTTAAAAACTGAACTGTAAGGTAAAGTAACTGAAATATAATGAAAAGACCTTTAGAATTGCTATCATTATTGCTTTTTAAACTGCTGAAATCATTTGGGGCATTTCTTTAAGGCTTTATCTTTTTATGATCACAATTAAAAGGACAAGCTTAACTAAAATGAAAGTACTTTGTGTATCAGCTATGCAGCTGGTAAATATAACCATTTAAAAATACATTCAAAAGTACTAAATTCAGACTGAGCATTATGGGCAAAGATACAACTTGATCCATGCACCTACAGACAGGGGTAGGGGTCTCTTGTGCTCTCATCTAACTCAGGTTTGTGAAGCCCAAAAAGGTAACTTCTATTTCGGTTTGCAAGTCCTGTGTACTGTTTGACAAGTTTTAGAAATTGTGGTATTTAGTTGCTTTTATGGCTTAAAATCTCTCTGAGTTCAAGAAGGACTTCCAGTCATTTATTTAGGCATGAATTGCAGCCTTTGGCACATGGGTTTAATATTGCCTCCCATTCTAACAGCGATCAACACAAAAGGGCCACACGTGACGTGCATATAGGTTAAACCACCTCACTTTTGTTGGCTTTTTGGCCTCAAATATTTTGTATTTTAAGGATATAAAATTCTAGGAGGCAGTTGTCCAACTTAAAAACAAAAAAAAAGGAGCTTTCCTAAATATTTTGGGGGGTTTTTTAAATTAGGGTTTGTATGTATTTTGTATTGCACTAAACTATGCACTGACTTTTGTATCCATAAGTATTTGCAATTTTTTTTTCCATTCTGTGACTGCCTTACAACCTGCTTCTAATAACTCTTCATTCATTTATACAGCAATTTTGTTGGCCTGGTTTTTTTAATGCTTTTTTTTTACTACTCCAAAGTTGAGTCCAGCATCCTCACGAAAACTAAGCTGATCCTCAAACAGATAGGCCATGGAGGCATATCCAAAAGAGAAGAAAAAGCCACTGGCCAGCAATTCTCTTACTGAGAAGAGACAAAGCTAGGAGAGGAGCAGCAAAAGCTATTGCCAGATTTCTAGTTTTCCAGTGATAGCTAAACTCTTACAGGTGGTGGAGGCAGTTGTCCATAGGAGGACTAAGACTTCAAAAGGAATTACTGACTAAGGATTAATGATCTAATTAATGATTTAGGATTATTGTTTTACAGACTCATCATTGTCCCAACATCACCTGGACAGATAAGCAAGAAAATGGTAAAATGGACTCTATCTGAAAACACAAAGGATTTGATAGAGTATTTTTAGTACTGTCAGAAGAGAATCAGTTTCCTTTATATAACTTGTTTTGGAGACTTAAGTTTTTATTTGTCTAGGGAAAACATGTCATAGTGGAAGCAGTTATTCTCTTAGATACAGTGATGGTAAAAGGACACAAATTATGCTGAGACTCTTATGTCTTGAAATACATCTTTCCCTGTTTAAGTTTTAATGGATTCAGAACAGGTGTCCTAGGAATTGTAAGGGTCAAAAATGACTTATGATTTTCTCCTTCATGTTTTCATTTTTTAGCACATATCCCCTCTAAAATACTATGCTAGACACACATTGAATTCTTGATTTAGTATCTTTAGTATCTTTACTAGCAAGTAATTTCACAAATTAATTGTTTAGGATTAAGTAGTAAGATAAAAGGGAACAAAACAAAATCCAAAAATGTTTGACTTTATATTCTGGGATTTTGGTTTTTAAAAAAATCTTTATCTAAAACATTTTGTATTCTGACATGCAAAACAATGATAATACTAAAATCACAATTCATGACATAAACACAATTTGAGCAGGGTAGGCTGGTTACCACCTCTGACTTAGGCATGTACTTCTGCAAACATCAGATTATGACACATGAATAATCTCTGAGTCAAGTAAATTTAATCACATGATCCTGTATTATTTCTAGTAGAACCAGCAGAAGGGCAAAGCCCTTATGCTTTTCTTGCAAAAATCCCTAACACAAACAACAAAAAACCCAAGCAAACAAACAAAAAAGTAAGCAAAACCACAACCAAATTTAAAAAACCCAAAACAAACCACAACCAACCAAGTATAAAAGCCCTACCTTCTCCTGCCAACACAATTGCTAGTTCATCAATCAAAGAGCTAAGGATGTCTAACTTTGATATTCTGCATAATATAAGGTGGAAGGCTAAAAAAGGAAAACAGAAGTAGAGAAATTATAGCTGTATGCAGGTCTGCACACTGTCCCAAATCCTTCAATTGACTATTGAGCTAAAAACAAGCAAACAAACAAAAAAACCCACCACAAACACATACATGGCACCACTACGTAAACCTCAGCTGCCAGTGCTCACACCCCAGCATGGGATAAAGGAGTAAACTGGGGACAGGCTCTGTGCCTTTGCATGACTGCAGAAACTTTACTTCTACCCTGGTAGTTGCCTGGCTCTATGTAAATGCAAATAAAATAGCAAATTCAGTTCAATAGTAAGACTTGAATGTGTTACTGTTACATGCTTTAACTTTTTACATTTTTACCTTACACTTCCAAGATAGAAACGTTGTCTTGAAAGTCAGTTTATGAAAAATATTTCAAGTGCTTCAGGGCTTCTGGTTAGTATGATCAAGTATTTTCAAACTTCAAAATTACATTGCTGATGTTAAATAATGTGGAGTTGATGTGTTACTATAGAACTTTATATATAACTATATAACTTTATATAACTATAACAAAGACAAATGCTTTCATTTGCAGTTCCTGAATCAGAATGAAAGTAGGTTATCTGCTTCCCTCACACAACTGAAGAAAACAGTGACTTATACCTAGATAGGAATTAGCTTGGCTTCAGAAATCTTTTGGTGCAGGAAAGTACATTTGCATCTTAGAATGAAGAGGCATTTCCTAACATATATGTTTAGATTTTATGATTTTAATGTTAGTGGAATGGACCTACATACCTACAGTGTGAGTGAACTCTAAATTCCACACCAAATTAATACAGATGTGTTATTAAGTACCTTATACAGGCTATACCATTTTCAATTAACATAAATACATTTCTCTAAAGAAATGAAAAAAAATACAAATAACTCAGCTTTGTTATTAGCTTGCAAGAACACAAAAATTCTTTCCATTTTGGAAGTGAATTTTTTACTACACACTGTAGTTTGATTTATACTAAATTAAGTACGAGTGAATGTTATAGAAATCTTGCTTGTCTTCTGAGATACAAATAATCATGATTATATTTATAACCCAATGTTTATATATAAAGTTAAGAAAGCATGAATTAATAATGCTGCATTAGTCAGAAAAAAGGCCTAGTGAATTAAGTTTGACTGTAAATATCCAGCAGAGGAGGCTAGTTCTGAATATAAAACTGGTCAGATTAGACTGTTTTGAGATATACTTATTTATATATCTTTAAATGATAGCAGATGCTTAAAAATGTAAAACTCTGATAGGGTTAACCTGAAGAAAATGTAATTTGTGAGGTTTTTCAATATTTAGAGAATGCAAACTACTTGTGGGAGATGGACAGGTGTTGAGAGGGAAGTGTTTTGGTCTAGATGCAAACATGAAGTTGCCATGAGAAGAAAAATAGAGAAATAACATTATATTATTTTCTCTGTCACTACTGTAGATGGGATAATGGAAACCCTGTGAAATCCCCAAATCTGCTGTTAGGGCAACCTGAGAAGCAGAGCCAAATGGAAGGTGGTTTTCTGAAGTCATTCAGGTTACAAGCAGGTAAGACTTGAACCCCCTCGTCCATCTCCAACAAAGACACCCAGTTCCTGTTCTCTTATTGTGCAGTGTGTCAGTTTTATGGCTGTTCTGAGATTCTGCTCCTCTGGCCAAGAGAGCATGACAGATCCCTGTCATTAACACGGGGTTAATGTGCACCAGCCTGCCACCAGTCACACGTGCCACGTCTGCTCAGCTGTTCACTTATCAGCAACTCAAGAAGGGTGTTAGCATAGAGAGACACAACCTAATTTAAAAAAATATTAAGGGAGAATATGAAAGATGGGACGGAAAACAGTTTCTCACATTAAAGTAGCTCATCTGGAGGTCTGCTTGACTAGATCTTCCAAATCCCACAGATTCCCATAACACCCAGTTTTTGACTTGGAAATTGATTCAGAGATGACAAAAGAAAGCAGAATACTTTCTTATGGAATCTTCATTCATTATGTGCTTATAGGTGGATATGGGCTAAACAGAAAGTGTCTATGCAGAGTTATCAGATGTATGTTTTTCCCCCCTCTGTTATCCAGCATGGTTTCTCCTTAAAAGACGCTGATTGCAGCACTTTTCTTGTATTGTGAATACACAAGCACTTTGGCTAAAGACATCAAGATGTTCTGCCTTATGTGGATACCTTTAAGACCATCAGAAATAAATAACACAGCTGCTCTGAATTATAAACTTTTAAATTAAATTTTAAATTTTCTTGAGTAAAATTTTGAGTAAATTTTCTTAGTAAAAAGTCTTTTGAATAAATCCAGCCAGAAAACATGCCCTATCTACCCCTGGCATTACAGATGAAAAACTGTCAGGTGAAAGGATCCGTTCAAGAAGTTATCCTTTCAGTGATCAGGTTATGGCAGCACCAAGATTCTTTAGCAGATAGAAAGTGATTCCTTGAAATACCCAGATCTGAGTCACCTGATTTTTAAGTCTGTTTGAACAGACATGGAAAGCTTAGTCTTATTTGTATTAATGAATATTCCAGATGCACACCCCTGTGAAGCTAAAGGTCTTGCCTCCATTTAGTAATTTTTTCATGGCTCTTAAGGAAAGAGTAGATTAAGAGCTAACTTTTCATTACCTAAGTCATGCACAGGTCAGTGCTAGCAAACTCACCGGCATGGGATGTCTCTGATTAAGTGAGGGCATTCATATCTGAACTAGTCACAGGAGGCAGATGGAGACCTGATGAAGATGCTCAGTTAAATTTAAGATACAGTTCTTATCACAGCAGAAATCCAAAATTTGGTTGTGTTTATTTGCTTGTTGTTTTTGTTGTTGTCCTTTTGTCATTTTTAAAGCTATGATTTACTTGATCTCCTTCTTTCCACTGAGGATTACAGATTTAAAAATACTTCTCTAAGGGCAAGTGAAAGAAAGAAGTTCTACATGAATGTATACAATACAAGAATTCTGATTCACTCAGAAGCCCAACTTACTGTAAATCCAGGGACTTGCAAGTTAACATCACCTTACAGGCCCATTTCCCAGATCTCTAACCCAAGGAAAAATCAAAATGGAACCTGACAAAAGGAAGACTGCTCTGGGAAGGAGACAAAAAGGACATCTGCTCACTGTTCCCTGGAATTCCTACATTTTACATTTAAACATTGAATAAAATCCATGAGGCAGTCCTGGGAGCGGGGATGAGATCGAACCCCTCCTTTTCTCTCTTCCTCTGGAAATGCCAGTGTTCAGTGCATTGTAAAATCTAACTCGTCCTTTTCCCATTCCCTAGCAGTAGTGATCCAGGTTCTGCTCAACAACATAAGGCGGCGAGTTAGCATCCCCCATTTTCTGTCATTTGCTCCAAGCTGGAATTCCCATGGACTACATTTAGAGCTCTTGCTATTTTTACTGGTGCTCAAAGCAATAGACATTGCATCTGTAACTACTGTTTTCTGTTGTATGGTGTTGGTTGGCTCTGAGCAACTTTCCATTTACCACCCAGGAGCTCCACAACAGTATCCCAACTCGCTGCCCAAGTAGTGAAGACCAGGCCTCACATGTTACTTGGCAGTTCCCATCTCTCTGTTGTTTATATTGGGAGATAAGCAGAGAGAATAATTTTTAGCAAATGTACTTGCTTTTTAAGCACTGCAATACCTTCTGACCACCAATTTCAGGCTCTAGCTACTATTCACAGAGAATTGATGAAGAAACCTTCCTATTAGGAAGTTTATAGTATTGTCTTGCTCCTGGATAGTCCAGTGGTAACACAATAAACTGGAAATGTGACTTAGTAAAGGGTTTAAAGAAGCCAACAGGACCTGAAGCCACTGGTGGGTGATCACATCTGTCCAAGGCATATTTTGTTGCTCACAACATCAACACAGGAGTTATATTTCAAAGCATTGACATTCCCCCACCCTGTATACTGACTCAAGGTTTTAAAATCTAGGATTGTCTCTTCACTGCAACATGAATTAACTTCTTGTGCTATTTGATAAGAGAGGAAAAATATGAAGAATGCTAAAAGGTGGAAGGATGTGCTAGCTACAGCAGTTCCTCTGGCATATAGGATTTAGAACAGATAATTTCATAACTGTGAAAGGTCATGCAAATATCAGTCTGGAAGAGATGTGGAGAGACCTAACTTTGTAGAAGATGAGTCTGAAGCAGGCATGTAATATATTGTCCTTTGTTCACCGCTGGGAAACAGGTGATCCTTGAAGCAAGTTTTAAACGAATTATTCATTGCTACAAGTTGATGCTGACAAGTATGATGTGGAGAAGTACAGCTAGCAAAGTTATGGTGAGAAACAAGATTATGTCACAAGGTGTCCAGCACCTAGAGATAACCCCCTCACTTTTGAAACCTTGTTGGACCAAGGACAAAATGAATACTTTAGAGCCCTCAAAAAATAACAGACAGGAGTCCGAGGCACCAAGGTATGTTATCAGCATGGGAAACTGGTGAGCACAGCATGTGAGTCAATGAAGTAGGGGGTAAGGCTTTTGAAGGAGGGGGTATGGCTTTTGTTTGAGCTGAGCCCCAAATAACCTTCTTCTATACCACCAACCCACTTCTGAGGAACTGTTTGCATGGTATTTTGGTTAACTTTGGAAGCTGATTGCATCTGCCTGGCATCTACACATCTTGCACTAACTACTATTGACAATTTTAGACAGCCATTTTTACCATGACTCTTACTTGAGTACATAATACTAGTAACATTACTAAGAGGAATCTCACCAGGGCACAAACAATGTTTTGGTCAGTCAGGTTGATTTAAGCTCTTGAAAAAGATTAGTTTATAGTATGATCCTGTACTTCAGACAGTTTTAAGCCAAGAGACCCAAGTATCTTTCAAAGGTGTCTGGACTCTATATAAACTTTCTACGTAAAAGAAAGGGAAACTGTATTAGGAGAAAAATACATTAGTTTTGGCACCTTAGAAATGGAGGTATATGTAAGGGAGAAAATTAAGAAACACATTAAAAAAATAAAAGAAAAAAAAAGAAAAAAAGTGTTCTTATGCTTTAGGTCCTGGAATTCCACATACTGGTATTTCAGAAGGAGCAGGTGGGGAAAACACAATAAAGATTGAGCTATCCCACAGATATTACTCTTCCAGGCATTTCTGCAGAAGATGCAGAAGGTAAATTAGTTGATAGTTTTGAGAGGATACAGAATCTTAAACACTTCTTACTCCTTACTGGCAACACAATGGCTCAAAAAGGAAGGAGATAAGTGTGAGAACCACTGAATTGCAGAAGATCAGCACTTCACTCTTCTCACCTTATGATTTGATGGGAGTAAAACCAGACACTTTCATCAGATGCAGCTTCAAAGTTGCAAAACCACAACCAAAGTTAAAGAGCAGCCTCAGTTGAATGGGAGAGAGGGGAGAAGGTGTGAAGCAAGTTTCCATTCAAATTTCATGTTCTTGCTGACTTCACTGAGCTCGGAGTGACTGTGAGCTGCAAGATCACAACAATCAGTTCATGGCCTGCATGCACAGGGTGCAGCCACAAGAAATCACCACTTTCATGGTGCAGGATGATAAGAGCATTAAAATACCTTCAGTAAGCACCTCAGTTTGTCATTTGCTCAGTACTGTTGTCCATGGATGAGCACACTGAGCATTGGTCTAAATGATGTCAAAAAAGAAAAGCTGCATCAGAATTAAACAACCCAGTGATTCTCTAAGATTGATAATTATTGTAATCAATTCAACAACTGGCACTACTTCTATTGGCATACACTGTGCCCAAAATGCCAACCTTATGTCCTAGTGATCAGGTATCAGAAATGGAAATGGCGGGTGGCCAAAATCCACACTTTTTAAGAGGGTTTATGTCTTGATATTTGTCCTCAAGTCAAAGAGTTGTACCAGGACACCAAGGAAGTAATGGTCATACTGCACTGTCATAGGCCACCAGGTCTCTGCTCTAGCCAAGAATCCATAAAAGCAGATCTTGTCTGACAGAACAGAGATGATGAAAGCTGGCTGCTCTCTCTCAGTTTGTTACTGGTAGGAGGTTGCAAGATGTATTTTAACTAAGACAAAAGAAAAATTTACCTTATTTTAAAAAAGGATAACGAATAAGAGACCATTACAGAAATCTACTGAAGTTGTAGATCAGTTTCCATAAAACTAATTAACTTAATGAGCAAACTCTTTGAACCAATATCTAAATGCATTACTGAAGATTTTAACATTCACAAGAAGTTCAGAGACTGTTTCAAACTGCCTAGTATTTGTCAAATTTATTCTTTGAAAATACTGAAGACATTGAAATGTAAAATAGATTCAAAGGCCCCTAAAATTATCAGCTTCTATCACTCCAAAATAACAGGCACGTCGATTCCTTAAAAATGTGTTAAATTTAATGTCAAATTTGTTCCTGAACCTGTTGAGTTTCCAATATATGCTCTGATCATGGGCTTGACTATGTCTTCCCACCCATCTTAGGACATTAATCACTTCTGTTTTCTTACACCTAATATGGATGTTAGCAGAAAGCCTTCTAATCCTTTTGCACTTAGAACCGAGGTGATCTGTATGTTCTAACAAAAGAGAACAACACATATTAACATGTATCTATGTATAAAGACATGTAAAATGCATGCTCTACTTAGCAACAGGAAAGAAATAACCCACCCACCTCAGGTGAATCTTCTTACAACCTGACTACATTAGGTTTTTCTCTTCTTCTCAACCCCACCTTCATACACATCCCAAACTCCTATAGACCTCATCAGGAGATTTGCATATGCAAGCACGAGAGCGAGGGGGACCTTGGGGTTTGCTAACCAGCCGTGGATGGAACCTTTAACTTCACAACAAGCAAACAATGGACTAGTTGCACAATAAGTGTGTGCCAAAGCCTTCCATATTGGCTGCAAAAAATAATTTTAAAATCTTTCATCTGCAGCCACTGTAAAATAATTTTGGGGGTGGGACCGAAAATATCATCACTGAGGAAAACTGGACCCTAGGTACAGGATTAAAAAAAAAAAAAAAAAAAAATTAAGGATCTGCTTCATTACACAAACCAACGAAAGGGTGAGGTCATGCCTCTGCCGGGCCATAGTTCATGCCGACACTACAATTTTCTAGAGATACAATTTCATCGTCATTCTAACTAATTTGCGGTTACTGTTGATACAGAGAAAACGAAAAGATACAATAGATCAACCCGTGCCCCACCTTTCTCCCTCCGGCCCCCTCCCCCTTTAGAGCCAGGGACACGAATTGTTTCGGAGCCCCACAGCGCCACCAGCACAGAGCAATGCAAAACAAAAAAGATCTCCCACCGGGTGAAAAAAAAAAAAAAAGAAAAAAAAAAAAAAAAAAAAAAGGAAAGAGTCTAGAAAAATGCCAAAATTTACAAAATGTCTCCCAAATGTACCTTCTTGGAAGAAAAAGACCAAATACCACCCAACCCCCCCCCCCCCCCCCCCCCCCCAAAAAAAAAAAAAAGAACAAACAACCCAACACCAAGACATCTAAGTGAAGTGTGGGGAAATAAGAACCTTTATGTAACTAATGCTTTAAGCTAATTATCACAAGAGCTGAAATTTGAAAATAAAAAGGTCACTGTTTAGTAAGAGACTATAACTTAATATAAACCCTCTTATGTCCATCTCCACCTTCACCATACCAAGGGCAGTTTTCCCCCTTACTTTAGACCAAAGTAATCCATCAAGAGCCATCACAAATGGCATTGTAAACTCTTTTCGCTACCACCAGACCATACAGTAGCAACATAATATGCTTCTTTATACACGAGAGCTGCATTATATTTATATAGACAGTCACATATTTGCTCCTGGATCCGTAACCAAAAAACCCAAGTCCATCTGGAAAATATTTGAATTCTTTTACTCCTAAACTGAAGTTAAATTGTTTTTAATCTTCGCGTGTATAAAATTTTAAAGAGGAAACAAAACTGACTTCAGTAATTGTCGCTATTAAGGAGACACCGTTGGGTGGGATTCACATGAGATCAAAGCTATGAAAAATACAAGACTACGTTTTGTTCATCAACACAACGAAAATCCTCCACAGCACTAATACACGCCAAAAACCCGCAGAAACGAATATTTTTGGTGAAAACCACAAACTTACCTTCGAAGAAGGCAGCCCTTGCAAAAGGGCTGTAACAATATGGACTGCATACTCGCTCTCCTACAACCAGCCACCTCCATGCTGCAAAGGGCTTCACGAACATCCTTAAAATATTTCGCAAAGGCAGAAAGTGAGACTTTTCTTTTCTTTCCTTTTTTTTTTTTTTTTTCTTTTTTTTTCCCTCCTCCCTCTTCTTTGCTCCCCCTCCCCGCCACCCCGCCAGGATCGCCGGGCGAGGAAGGAGGCGGCTTCCCGAGGGTCGGCGGGCGATGCCGGCGGGCGGCCGCAGCCGGGGCGGGGGACCCGGTGCCGCCGGGGTCACAACTTTGCCGGGGCTGGCGTTGCCTCGATGGGCTCCGCGGGCCCGCCCCCACTCCGAACCCCGCAGCAAGTTTGTGCCGCCCGGCGCATCCCTCGGCCTCCCCCCGCGGCACCCCCGCACCCCCGCCCGCCGGGCTCCGGCAGCCTCGCAGCATCCGAAAGAGCCAGTCATGCCTGAAACAAAATCCATGATTCCTGGAAAGTGGGGAGGCTTCAATCCCAACAAATCCTCAATTTACTTACAATTATAAATACCTACCTTATGAAAGGTCTAAATTAACACTAAATTCAACAGATACATCCGTTACGGCAGGAATAGTTTTTCCATAAATACTGTTTTAAAAACCCCTCCTTATACTGACTGACAGAATTCTACCATGCTGCCCACAAACAAAATGGCTGTGGCACCGAGTTTTTTGGTTCCTCCCACTGTGCCTCCCCCTGGCCTCCAGGAAGTGGTAGAAATCCAAAATAAAATCCGCACGAAAAGTACAATACATCAGCCAAACTCCGCACGGCACCGCCAGACAGCATCGGGAGGGAAGCGCATTCACCAACACTGTAGTTTCTCGAGGATTTTTATTGTTTTTAAAAGGGCATCAATCACTGGGAATTTACATCACTGTGTAATTTGAACTTCCTGCTTTACATATTTATAAGGTCTTTCACCTATCTTGGCAGGCTTTCAAATTAAGTGGGTTGGGAAATTTGATGCTGTGGCTCTAGTTTGTGAGCTGAGTCAGGTAGTGCCTGCTGGAGCTGGGCTCTGAAAAGACGGGCAAATTCTGACACTTTACCTGTTCAGTGCAAGATAAAATAATCCCCCTCGCATATCACAGTCTCGTAAGCGAGCATGTAGGCACCAAGAGGCCCCTGGAATGAGGATTCTCATCAGAAACTGAAGTTTAGGCCTCTTGCACATAAATACAAGCTTTGTAATATTTATAATTTTGCATTTGTGGTTCACAGCAGTCTCCCTGAATCATGATCTCTGTGGAAATAATCTTGGATTTTTTTTCTTATTATGACCCCATTTAGTGTTGCAGCCCTTTAACTTTTGCCACATTCACTCTAAAATAAAAATAAACAGGAAAATATAGCGTATTTCTATTAGGGATTTTGATAAAAATGTCACTATATCTGAGCCACCAATCTTGCCAGGCAGTAGCACAACTCCTCTTGCACGCTGCCTCGTGGGCTCCGTAGGGGCTGATTCATTTCCCGTGAGAATCCTTTTCCTGCCTTTAGGAGGAGTTACAATGGAGACAGGCTGTCAGACCTGCCCAGCCTGATCCAGCCCTATATTAAAAGACTTGAATTAATATTCTCACCTACTGCTATTCTAAACCTTTGTCAGAGGCATTGAAAAAACTGTGCAGTCGGTGATGTTTTTCCTGAACCACCTCATATTTCGAAGTCTTAGATTTCAAAAATAAAACAACAACAACAAAAAACAAACCACCCAAAAAAACCTACAGAGAACTTGGAACAAATTTTCCGTTGGTATAATTTGTTTGTATTATCATGTTATCTAGCAGCCTTAATCCTGAGCTGTGATTATAATGCTATATTGTATAGGAATATAGGGCAAAAAGATAATTCCTGCCCTGAAGAACTCAAAAGTATAAGACAAAAGACAGCAGATGGCTATGGGCAGATGAGGGAAACAATGAGACTGTATTGATCAGCGGGGAAGGCACAGTTTGCAACACACCATCAGTCCAACTCTTGTTTCTGTGTGTACTTCATGGCAAAGAAGACATAAGGTGGGATTTGCTGAAGAAAATGAATCAGGTTTTTTGGCTGTTGAAAGAAAACTCCAGCAAGAAGGACAGCATGGAAGAAAGCACAAAGATGTTTGAAAAAGCAGCAGGTGAACTACAGAAACCTAATCAAATCGGCATTAATCTTTGTATAATGACAGAAAATAGATAAGGAGGAAGTAGGCTATTGAAAGCACTGAAAATACAGACACAAAGCTTATGTTTGAGACAGAAGAGGCAAAGAAAGGATCCAAAAGGCATGGTAGAAAAATCATAAACCAGGCCTGCTAGCAGTAAACAAGCCCTAGGAAAAAAACTAGACAATAGTTCACATTGTAGGGGCCTGAAGAGGTGTAGCACATTTTTTTAGGAAAAAGAAGTGTTTTCTTAACTATGAGTTTGGGGACTCTGTGTTGATTGTCTGCACCTTCCTCCTAGTTTGTATTTAGTGAATTCTTAAGTCCTACTCCTGATGGTAGTGTTTAGTGTGTGGACACCTGATTACTAAAGCGTCCCCTCAAAGTTGTTAATATGAGTGGATAAGCACATAGGAAAGCTGGGACCAAGCTGGCCTTGCACACTGGAAAGGTTGCTTCTTCCATCACTTTTTTTTGGAGAAACGTTCATCTGCCAGCAGTGCCCCATAGGTTACTGTGTGTCTCACACGAGCACAGGTCTGACAGATGCATGGTGGAGGGGCAGAAAGGACTCTGGTTTAGGGCATAGCTACAGCCAGGACAGCAAATCATGCTTTGGAGGGGAAGTATGGTCTATAGGCTCAGGGCCCTTTCAGGACACCCTTTACTATGTTGCTGTAGGTTATTGAACACTTTTTTCTTTATTTTCCACATTAGCAGGAAAATGCAGGCACATATTTTCAAATTCTTTGTACTTCTGCATGAAACACCTTAGATAACTTTACATTTACTGTGAGGCTCTTAAGTATGTTGGCTAGTTGTGCTACAACTTAGGGTTAAACACTGCACAGTAAATAACCTCAAATAAGCAAAGCCTTGGTGAACGTCTGTGGAATTATTGTGGTGTGGCAAATGTGAAAGAATTTGGCTGGATTCTTTTGTTGCAGACTGAACTGAACTGCGACTGTCCCACATTTCCTTCAGATTTGAAGCTTGCTAGTTCTGTAGGTAAGCTGATGTGTGGTAACTGTTTAAGCCAGGGTCATTTTCTCTCGTGTTGGATCTCATCATCAGTTTTAACTGAAAACAGTGTCTATCAAGTGCTAAATGTTAAGAATTGAGATAGGGATTGAAATACACGTTGTGACTGGTTTTTTTTTAAATCTGGATGAGTGTTCCAAGAAAAGTTGAACCGTATGTTCTCAGGCTTTAACAATAACCGCTACTTGACTTGATGTAAAATTTCCCCAATATCCTTACAGTTCAGAGTAACTGAAAAGAGCACCATCACCCATTCTGCACTTTTTTTTTTTCAGCTTTGTCCACTGTTTGGCGTGAATGTTTGCCTTGAAATTTTGCTCAAAAACAGAATATCTGTACAGAAGCAAAGAAAAATCTAGCTACATTTTAGGATTTAGATTAACACAAAAAAAAAAGTGGCTAAAACCTCATAGCACTCAAATAACAGCTCCTTACTGAAATTAAAGAAACCACTTTTTACATTCTGCTTGCAGTATAATTACTTTTATTATTCTTTATCTTTCATTTGCATTAATCTTTATCTTGCTCATAAAGATTTAACTCTATTGACATATTTTCCAAGTAGCTCTCTATCTCTACACTTGTAATAAACAAATTACACTGATCTCCTTTTGACAATATTTTCTTGATGTCTTTAGGAAGTGAATTACCAGTCCTGTTAAGTCAGTAAATCATTAGATAGATAGCAAGAGCTAGAGGTTATCAAAGGGCTTTTTCAACTCATATGTAAATGATCATTTGTTGTCTTTCATAAAAGTGGCATTGAATGTTTTTTGGTTGAAAGATCACCAAATGCATAAATAGTTCGCATTTTTATTCAATAGATAATGTTCACATAGCTGCATAACTGCTCTTGAAGAACCAAAAAAGCTGATTTGCTGTAATTTGGAAAATCCATAAATTATAGCATAAGAATGGATTATTGATGCCTGACTGTATTATAAAGGAGGACATGGGCTCCCATAGCTTAATTCTTGCTTGACCCAGGTCAGATATTTTTAAAAAAGCATGCAGTCTTGACTAAAAATGCATAAATGCAGTAAAAAAAATCCACAAAATCTTTACTAAATTACTACAGTGATTACTTGACTCACTTTAAATCACACACTTTGTTACATATTAAACCTCCTCTTTCCATTTCTCTGTCCAAGTCCAGGTTTTGTTTGAGTATATAAGACTCACAAAATGTTACTCTTTATTAGGGGTGTTATGTGATTTTAGTACTGCTCTAGTTTACCAGTAATCTTCATGCTCAATATTCCATGCATATCAGAGATAAGCACAATATGCCAACAGCAATGACTCTACTTGCCAGTACTAAAGGAACACCTTTATTTTTTATGCATATCCCAACATTTTATTTGCTTTCTTGCAGCATTACCATTACAGATACTCCTTGTTTAGCAAAACCTCCCATTAATATCTGTGTCCTTTGCAGTAGTCTCTTTTCAGTTGCATCATCTCCCTGCTTCTCTCAGTAGGACTTAACATTGCTCTCAGGATTTAACTTTTGCCCCTGCACAGATACATGGACTGCTCTACTTGGGCCCACCTTAAAAAGCCTATCCAAATTACCATTTACCAATAACTCATTCACTGCTGGTTTCCTCTCCTTCAAGCTCTGTAGCACTGTGAGCATCAGTAAGGATTCCTTTCCATGTTACTCTTACCTTAAGCAGTGTTTTCATTTGCTTCAGACACTGAAGTTGTCTGACTCCTGACTTCGTTTCCTTGTGCTGGGGCCCTGTCTTCAAATGTTTTATGACTGGACTAATAGGATTTAAAGCCCAGTGTTGTCACACTGTGTCTTTCACTCTTCTCACATCACAAGTACCACCAGTGGCAGATCTCATGGTTTTAGGATGATGTTTGGTGGCAAAAGGTGTGGAGAAATAATTAAGTCAATTTAAGTGGAAAACCAATTTATTACAAAAATGTGCGTAGGTCTTCTGGAAATAAAAACCAGAAATAAATCCTGAGAACATCTGTTGCTGTTGGCTGCCAAGTTATGCCACACATCTTGCAGTATAGTTTTTCTCTCCTTCCTGTTTATTGGGTTGTATATTTGTTGATGGCCTGAAAGTACCTAATCAGAT